CTCGATTTGGGTTGGGTTAAAAAATATAATAATCGATTAATTCGGTTTGGTTCTCTGGTTTGAAAAATAAAAATTCGGTTCAACCCGAACCAAACCAGTTTTGTTCTCTTATGAGCTTGAAAATTAGTGTGAGACCTACAAGTGGACTATCATTTTTTTTTTCATTTTTTATGTTAAAAAATTAAATGGATCTAGTGAATCAAACCTTCAACTTTAGGAAAACAATAAATGTCTAGTCCACAGGCTATGCCTGAATTCGCACAAACTATGACATTAATTAAAAAAAATGACAGATATCATTCGAGCTTTCTAGGCTCTGATATCATATCAATATTCATGGAGTTTCATTTTAAAATCAATTGACAATGAGATGAGGTAGCTCATGTCTATTATAAACATTTGTTAGGTCCCTTATCTTTTCAATGTAGGATCCTTAATACGTCCCTCAAGATGGTGTCTTTTGGATAGCGAAACTCATTAATCCTTTAATATATTCTTTTAACGTGACTCAGGTTTAAATATTAATTCAGTCGTGTCTCACAATATGAAGATTTGGAACTTTGCTACGAGGAAACACAAAGGGTGCAATTTTATTGATAAATGACACACCAAATGAAAAACACACGTCGAAAACAACTATAAATCATAGAAGCAAACAGATGAAGGAGGCCTTCTTTACGAGAGCAAATGGATCCATATGATGATCTTCTTTTGCTTTATTATAAAATTTCCCTGCAAAACCAACATAAATCATATGCATATGTTTGAGTGATGCATCGAGTTAAAATGCTTGATGAGATAAATGCATATGTTTGAGTAATGCATTGAGTTAAAATGCTTGATGAGATAAATGCATATGTTTGAGTCATGCATGGAGTTATCACCTTTACTTACTTTATAGTATTAGGCATATGGACCTAATAGTAGTAAGGAGACGGCGGGGGAGGAGGCGACTTGTAATCGGTTTCTTTTGGTGGTGGTGGCGACTTCTTTGGTGGTGGCGGAGGAGGCGACTTCTTCTTTGGTGGTGGTGGAGGTGACTTCTTTGGTGACGGTGGTGGAGGTGATTTATCTTCGTTCTTTTTTGGTGGCGGTGGAGACTTGTAGTCGTAGTCATTCTTCGGAGGCGGAGGGGAGTAATAAACAGGCAGTGGCGTATAGTAGTAGCTCGGCGGTGGAGGAGAATAATAAACCGGAGGTGGAGGAGAGTAGTCATAGTGTTGAGAGGTTGTGGATCGGAAGCTTAGAGCTACCACCAAAGCTGCAAAAACAAGGGAGGCCATTAAAGAAGAAGAACCCATCTTTGCTTATAAATGGGTTTTCTTTTTTGTTCTGGTTTTGAATTGAACCCTCCAAGGCCTTTATATAGCTTTCAGTTCCTTGATTTTTACTCTAATTCCAAGGCTAACAAGTCACTGTAAATTGTAAATTTATTCAAAAGATTAATATTACGTAACTACGTGGAATTAGTTAGACATTAATTATAAATACTATGGAGGCCAATTTGTAAGTTGGATTAATTCACTTAAAACATTGTGGAAATAAAAGGTTGGAAACTTTATGGAAAAAAAAAAGGAAAATAGAAAGTTAGAAACTTATTTGGTGACTGATAACTATTTTATCTTTTTGTTTCTGTTGTCACCTTATAAACACTATTTTCACCTATGTGTTTATTTGTTAGGTGTTTTATTATTTCCAATTACTTTCGTATAATGGAAATTAAATTTTTAAAAGTTAACCAAAGTAACTTTTGTTTTTTAAATTTGACAAGTTAACTAAAGTAATTTTTGTTTTTTAAATTTTGGCTAAGAATTGAAATAAAAAAAAAAAGTGAGGAACCAACTAAGACCCTGTTTACTTACCAAGAAATGAGAATGATAATATATCAGAACGAAAATCAATCGGAATCAAATAAATAGGAATGAGAATGTTTTTTCTTGGATGCTGTTTACCAAGAACTTTTTGGAATTGGAATCAGAGTTCATTTTGACATGGTTTACTAACACTATATGGAATCGGAATCGAAATCAGATGTATGACAATTACTAGTATACCCATTTTTTCTTTGTACCTAATTACAAATACTTGTACTAATTTTTTTTAATTACAGTATTAATATATTTTAATGTATTTTATTACTAAATATTTTTTTTATCATAACAATTTATTTAATATTAATATTAATAAATAATGAACAATTAAAATAAATTACATCATCTAAAATAATTTTTTATTAGAACTATTATCATTTAATATAAAATTTTATTAAATTTTGTTATTAAAATATTTAATAATAATGTTATTAAATTTTATTATTCTAATAATTAATTATATTTTAAAATCTATTGATAGTAATTAATAATATAAAATTAAATATTAATTTTTAAATATACATTTATAATATTGTATAATGAAATCACGTAAACTAATAAAATAGATATAAATTTTTATTAGAAGAAAAATTATTAGTAATTTAAATGAAAAACAAATAAAAAAATATAAAACAATTAAATGGGTCTCATTAATAATGAGAAAGAAAGAGTAAAAGTAGAAAAGCAATGCATTAAATGTGTGGGACCCACGAAATAAGAAATGAGACTGAGATTGATGACGGTGTAGGAGAGAAATGAGATTGCCCATTTTTAAGGATGAAAATGAAAGAAGTGGGTGGGTCCCACCATATTTGATTCTCATTCTTACGTTTTGGTAAACCAAGGTAATTAAAAAATTGAATCTCATTCCTTCCTTTTCATTGAACATAGCCTAAATATAATTTTTCAAAATGAAAAACTAGAAACAAAATTATTATCAAATTGGCCTAGAATTTCTGTATTTTAGTTTTATGTTTATCAAGGGGCTCTTACAAAAATAGCAAAAAAATTAATATGAATATGCAAAAGTAACAAATATTTTTCATCAAAATTAGGAGGCCAAACTGGAATAGAAAGAAATGAAAAGTCCAATATATCTTTAATGAACACAGAACCGTAACAATGATATACTTGATATAACCATGATAAACCTAATTTATATATTTGATTTGATATACGTGATTTGATATAACTAATTATAAGTACTAATATACTAACGATATATATTGAAAAAAAAAGCTAACATGTAAGGGACGAAATTGAAAATGACCAAATTAGGGACAAACTTGAATATTAAAAATTAAACATAAATTTGTTGTTTTTTTAAATAAACCATTTAATAATATTTAAAATTGAAGTTGTGTGAATATGAATATATATATATATTATTTTTTGCTAATGTGGTGTAAGATGATATAAATCTATCTGAGTTTGAATTCCATAATTAAGACCAACTTTCTTTTTTTTTAATATTTAAGAGTGTCCGGACTAGTTTATACGCACCTCGACTAGTTTCACGGTACAACTACCTTAGCCTACAATATTTGGTGTCGGAAACACATAAGAATTACTAATTCCTAAAGTATATAGCTATCATGGTATTTGAACTCATTCTTCGTTAGTTAACTCTGGTCCCTTTGGACTAATGGACTACCCATAATAGTTAATTAAGAGCACCTATTAAAAAATAGTGTTAGTAAGACAATTAAGAGGCCAACTTAAAAATATCTCAACTGATTAAACATATATTGTTTCCAAGAAGGTACAGATGAACATGTACAAAATTGAATATTTTGGATTAAACATAAATTTTTTTAAGACAAACATTTAATAATACTTCTAAAATATAATGCATTTGAAATATTTTTAAAATATAATAATTTTTTTTAATGTGGATGATAAAATTATCTAGTTTGAATTCCTTTTACATTAAAGCACCTATCAAAAAAAATCTTACTAAAACAATTATAATTGATTAAACAGATTTTAAAGTAACTGTAGTTGAAAATACAATCAAACTCATACATGGTTAAGGATCCCACGTTAATAAGATAAGGGACCTAACAAGTGTTTATAATATAAGTTGGTTACTCTTCTCACTGCCAATTGGATTTGAGATGAACCCATGTATATTGATACGTTATCAGAACCCAAAACGTTCAAATGAGCATTCGATCCAAATAAAATTAAACCAAGATTGATGAGTAAAAAAGAACCACGATCTTGAGAGGTGGACCTGGGCATCGTACTATTATAATGTGGAAGGTCCATTGTCTCTAATAATTAATTGTTAGGAATGAGACAAAAGTCTTCTGATTTTTTTAACTAAAAAACAAGTCAGGTGGAAATTGGAACACTTGGACCTTTGAGTTAAAGATATATGCATAGATTGACTCTATCAAATGTGGTATTATTTTTGTTACAATTTAATTTATCATTGTATTTTCGTTTTAAAAGGTTAAACTTGTCACGTTAGTTATAATAAATTATTAATAAATTTTGAATTATTAATAAATTTACTTTTAATTAAGAAGAAAGAAGGTAATTTAGATTTATACAATTTGTTTGGTTATTGATTATTAATAGTGACATGTCTAGTAATTTAAAAATGGAAAAGTGAACAAAATCATAAAAAATATTTTTCTAAATTATAAATAAAAAAAATGTATATATAAGAGAAAAAAAGGATAAAACTTGAAAAGTAATTATTGAAAAATGTGCAGGAGCTCCAAAATCAAGAATGGTAATAATGTGATTGATTAGGTTTTAGGAGAGAAATGTGATTACTCCTTTTAGAAGAAATGATTCCCAAGTTTGAAACGGTGTACAGTTGATTACATTCCTACATTTTAGTAAACACGCTAAAATAAAAACTTTCATTCTCATTCCTTTGTAGTAAACGAGACTTTAGAGTATTAAAATTCGAACAAAGAAATTAGGATATTGTAATACTTTTGACTTTGTACAAGAATAGACTTTAGGGTAGTTTAAGAAGTGCACGACTAGCCATATCAACAATACTTAAAGTACATTAATTATTATTTATGGTAATTTTATATAATCATTAAGAGGATGTCTCCCTCACATATTTAATAAATATATATTTGAATTGTACAAAAGATCAATAAATTTTAGAAACTTTAATTCGTAAGATTTGTATTTGGTTGGTCAGTTTATAACTTATATAAACAATAACGATTGGTTTGGAAATGTTTTCGGTCTCTAATTTTATTAAGAAACTTAAGCATTTGACAACTATTTACGTTTCTTAATAAAAATATTGTTTTATCATTATTTGATCTATAGGTGTTGGAAGAATGCAAGAGGAAACAGAAACCAGACATGCAATTCTATTTGACATACACTTGTACAAATTCTATAATTTATGAGTAGTTCGTAGAATTTACTTGATATTTATTCATTCGTTTGTTTTTTAGTACAATATATAGGTTGAAGTGGAGAATCGAATTCACGATTTTTTTGTCAGAAATAAGTGTCTTAATCAATTCAACTATGCTCATGCATAATTATTTATTATTTGAATAAGTTTAACACGAAAGGCTCATATTTCAACTTTATAAACTAACTCTCCAAATCAAACCTAGTTTAGAATCTAAAACGGTATAATCAAGATATAGGCGCGAGGTCCTAATGTTTAATGGCTAAGTTAATTATATAATTTCTAAGGAAAAAGAAAAAGAAAAAAAAAAGGCTAAGTTATAGACTTCTTCTATAGTAATAATTATATACGTTGAGAAACAAAATTTTTCAAAATGTCTGCATCAAAATAGTTGGTTTCAATTGTTGATTTAAGATTTAAGATTTTTTAAATTTTAAATTTTATCACTATTTTTAAAATTCATTTAATATAATAATAATAGTTATATTATTATTATTATAATAGTTATAATGAGTCAACTTGAGTATAACTCAACTTGTTAAAACATCTATATTTTCGATCAAAAAGTTGTGAGTTCAAATCCTCACTATAATAAAAAATAAAATAATAGTAATAACAACAATGACACAACTCCTCCTTGTTAACCATTTAAGTTAAATATCTAAAAAAGAAATTAATAGATTGAACATAGAATTAAAAATTTTAAAACCTTAAAAAGGACAAGTTGTTTTTAGGGATCTTAGATGTCCAATTTCTTAGATGTTTGGAATTTTAGATGCTTGAAAATAGAGATATTCGATAATCTAGGTTTGTTTAGTAGCAAAATTTATAATAATTGATGGAATATTGAAATAGTTATGTTTGCTTTGTAGGATTTGTTTGAATATTCATGCAATTTATAAATTTACTTTTATGTCGTTATTAATTTAATACTTTTATTAATTTAGTTTATTGTATATTAAATATAAATGTTATTTTGTATACAAATTAAGTTACATTAATTTGGTAATTTTATAAAAAAAATATATAA